TGAGAGATGAGGCACGAAATTAAGTTTTTCTTTTAGTTATTAAATTATATGTATTAATAAGGTCAAGAAACTAATTAACGGATGGAGAAGTGACACGAAGTTCAATGTTCCCTGTAGCCCTTTTATTCAAGCACATTGGTAGCATTGACTGAAAATTAGCTTTTTCATAATGTTTTATCTGCGAATTCACCAATAGTCGCTACTGTTATTCAAATCTGCGTATGACTTTAGTTTTTAGTATCATGAACATCATATTTGCTTTAGTAATCTATTAAATTTAGTACTGAATTGATCAATATTTTGATAAAACTTACTTTTTATTTCTCTTTTAGTGTATATGTCCAACGATGGCTGGCACAAAGGAATATCTTAATATCGAGCTCCTGCGACAAAGAGAGTGCATTAATCATGATCCACTTCTAGTTGGCCCAGAATACGACTATTGGGCTATTGGTGTTTTTGTCTATGAGATGTTCTGTCGCGAAACGCCTTTTTACGACAAAGATGATGACCGAATGATGAACAATATTATTAATTATCGATACACTCTCCATTTCCCACCAGATATTAACATCCCCGAAACGGCAAAAGACCTGATAAGCAATCTTATCACCGAGCCCTCCAAACGATTGACATATGATGACCTCATCAAACATCCGTTTTTCAAAGATGTTGATTTCGCAACTCTTCGACAATGTATGCAGTTTCTTTAAAGCCTTTAGCCGAATATGATTTAATTGTTCTTTTCCTTATTTAGAAAACTATCTTAGAGGGATCTATTGTATTAACTTAATTATTAATTGGTATTCCTTTTACTCTTTAAATTTAATTGTGCTTTTGAGTTCCGTCAACACTTCTCTTATAGTCTCTTTCTGATTTCCGGACAGAGAAAATAGCAGCATGTTCTTTTTACCAGACTATCCGGAAGTTAAAAGCAAAGGTCCATGTTGCCACTCCTTACCGATTTACAACTAGTCAAAGGGATAAATGAAGTCAATCCTTTGACAGATTTCCTGCCGGAGCAGTTGTCCCATGACTCCTCTTTCTGTTCTGGCTCATCTATTTACTCCTTACCCTCTTGTCTCACTACCGCCCCACCACAAATTCTGAATTGTTTATATTCATCCTCCAGAGTTGTGCTCTTTTTGGCGAGTCTAGTAAGGCGTAATCACATCTGCTGTTTGTTTTGCCTCCCTCCCTCCCCCCGAATTTGCTGTTCCGACTCGGACCTCCCTCATAGGCCTGTAGATCCGTTTCTTATCTCTGGTTGACCGATTTCACTCGCTTACAGTTCCAGTGTACGTTTCACTCCAGCCTCTAATTCTTAAGCGAAGATTTGAATACCAACATGGTGTGGTCTTTGTGTGGTCGTAGTCTCCTTTCGTTGTATAGAAGTTGTTTGACCTTGTTTTCGAAGTTTGGTCATATTGGTAGGAAGACTTAGGGAATCACATCTAGTCCGGATTCCATTGCATGCATTATAATTTCCAGAGCCGGACAGTGCACGTGGTACATTCCCAGACATTTCGCCGGCATTGTAGTCGGCATCGTCAGTGAGTATCGCCATTCTTATCACCATACTAAAACTCGTCAAAAAGACAAGTGAAGCCTAATGTGAGCTAAACAGTTGTCGTATTTCTTATTTTGTCCTAGGCTAGTCACTCACCCTATATCCTCGTATCAGGTCTTTACTATCACAATTATTTCCTTGTTTATTTAAATGTGTGGTGTATGTACCCTTTTGAGCGGCTTTAATGAGATCCCTTTACGCTCCACATTGGCGTTCTCACCCCCCATTCACCCTTGTGCTGGGAATGTTGATCCGAGTCTGCCATATTGTTACGCAGGAAAGGAAGAGACTGATAAGACCTAGGGAAGGAAGATTGCGTAACAATATGGCAGACTGATCAAAATTCCCAGCACAAGGGTGAGGGGGGATGAGAACGCCCCCTTAGAGTGTGGAGGGTTTTCATGAAAGCCGCTCAAAATGACACACTATACTAGATAAATAAGCAAGGAAAAAATGAGATTCCCATGCCTGCAGATATTAGGCATCCCATTCGCGGATCACCTTTGCTTACGCCTATGTACTCTGGGCAAAATGTGCACGTCTATTTCTGGTCGCCTACCTCTTAAGTAAAGTTCTAGTCAGTTTGGTCATAATGTCACATTTGTGACGGTTGAGATCATCCATCTCCCTAGTCACGTGATTGGTAGGCCTCCTTACTTGATTTCCGAAGGTTCCTCGCCCACTTCCTTGCAATCTTTTTTCCTCTCGTTAACCATATATCCTTGATCCATGCGTCTCCTTTTTGCTTATCTTATCGTTTTCTTGTTTCCTCTGAGTTTACTTATATACTAGACAAAATTATTGCTATCAATGGCTCTCCTAATCTTCCCTTCCCTTGTGTTTTCATCGTATAAGGCCCTTCTTTCTGTTGCCTTACTGTTGATCATGTGTTCCGCTATTTCTAATTTTTTGGCATCAATTTTTCTGTAGCACCTTTGTTACTTTATTCCTATACTAATTTTTCTCCCTGTTTTGTCAACGTATTTCTGTTTGCAGACTGCGCATTCCACGCCGTAAACCCCCTAGAAATCCTATTTGTCCCCCCTCGTTGCGTGTCTAGACC